CCTGGAAACTTTCCTCACTCCCTCCATATACCTGCCTGGCTGAGCCCCAACCTGGTAAACTCACCTATCTACCTATTCCACCTTCCTTCAGCAGTAAAAAAAAGTGGTTAGAGAAAAACACACGACTGCGCCAATGGGTCAATTCATGACCCCTAGTCTCATCTGAACTTCCAATACTGTCAGTCTGGTCTTCTAGAAGGACTGTTCGTCTTCTATGTCCTCAAACCTCCGACAGCCCCTCCCTTTCTCTCAGTGAATGGTTTTGCCTCATACATCCCTGAGGAAATGGAAGCAATGAGACTGGAGGTTGCTCGTCTTCCCACCACCAATTGCACCTGACGGACACATCCTGACTCCACTCTCTGCCTTCCCTCCTTTAAAGTGCTGAGCCGTCCATGCTTCTATCCAGAGCCACCTCCTCCAAGGTGCACTGGATGCCACCCGTGCCCATCCCCCGCTTTCAATGACTTTACTCCACAGCTATCTCTTCTCTTTCCTACCTTCCCCAATTTCTCCCTTTGCCATCACCCCATAAACTTTTCCTAATATAGCTCATCTTCAAAAATAACATCCCTTAAAGAAACAGTAACTTCACAGTGGAAAAACCTGGCAAGCACTACCTCAGGCCAGTGAGCAGTGTTAATGTCAACAGTGATAAGTCATGCTGATGGCATGTACCCTTGACACAGTGTGATGAGAATGGCTCTCCACCCCTGGGGTCCTCCTCCCCAAAACCCATAACCTCTGTCCAACCAGAAAAATAAACAAATGAGATTGAAGGACGTTTTACAAAATACCTGACCCGTCCTTCTCAAAACTGTCAAGGTCATAAAAAACATGGAAAAGCCTAAGAGAAGCCTAAGAAGTCATGCCAACTAAATGTAATGTGTGTCCTAGACAGGACTCTAGAACAGATAAAAAGAGACATTAGGTAAAAACTAGCATGTCTGGATAAAATAGACTTTAGGGGATAATAATGTACCAATGCTGCTTTGTTACTTGCCACGTATGTACCAGAGTAATGTAAAGAATGGGGAAGACTGGGCCCAGGGAATGCTCGCAACTTTTCTGTAAATCTGAAATTATCCTAAAATAAAAGTTTATTAAATATTTAAAAAGCACACAAATTTCACTGATCCACGTCTTTCTTCAGCTTCACTCCATTTCCCTGCTTCTTTCCCAGGGAAACTTCTTAAAGAGTTGTGTGTTGCTGCAGTCTCCCCCCCCACCCCAGCCAGTGTGCTCCCCGGTCCCTTCCAGTCAAGCTGCTGTCCTT